TAATCGAGAAAGTAAAAGTACTTTTACACACACTCTAAAACAYTGAAGTGTTGAATTTTCTTAAAGTTATGTCAGCTGGTTCCCCTGTACCGAGTTGAGTAAATTGCTTTGACTCAATTTAGTGAACTATCACAGAATATTGGGGATGCACCAATATGAAAATTTCAGCCGATATATATGTCCAATATTTTCAATGGTGTTATGGCCGATAACCGATATTTATCGATATTACACAAGCACACATATTATTTATATACYGTACATGTACACAAAAATACACTTGTGTCTTTTTTTCAATACCGTAAACATGACCAAACCGCTGACATGGCTCTGTACTTCAGTTATTACTGGCTGTGCAGCATCACTAACACTATCATGAACAAACAGATACTGCTCAACCAACCACTTCCCCTCCCAAAACAGAAACACAAACAGACACAAGCAGAAATTCAATWCCGGATGTTAATATTGGCCCAGTTTTACTTATGGGACCGATGTTAATGCGGATATGTCGTGCATCCCTATAGAATACTGTAGATGAAAGATGGACAGCTGAGCAATGAGTGATCAGATCCTTAAAAACATTGCTTACGTACTGCAGTGAAGTAAATGTACTTTGTTACTACGTATATACCTTTGATTATTACTGTTGTTTGAATGCCTGTTAGCACAATAACAACAAAGCCTCGTTTCCCAGGACTCACCAAAGGTATAAGGGAGAGTTTCTGCAAAACCAAACCAAAAACTTTCCAAATATATCATAAAATGAGAGCAAAATGATGAATACAGGAAATATTTTACACCAAGCCTTTAGTCTTCATTCAACCTTTAAACATAACTGGTGGAATATTCTCATGAGCTAATGAGCAAATCCATTAATGTTCCACTTTATTCTTAGTTATGTTTGGYTGCTCTGAAAAACCGCTGCTGCTCATAACTGAAATGCCATGCAGGCCCTGAAGACATGCTGACAAGCTAATTATCAAGTAGACCYGTCACAAGCAGGCAGAAAATTTAAAAATAAAGTTCACACTGCTCTCATTATGTAAACAATCACAGTTCGTGGTGCTAACCTCACACCACAATAGACTACAGCTGGTGGGCTCGAACACAAGAGGGTCSCACTCTCAGTGTGAGACGAGAAAAGCAGCGAGAATGTTGGTGTAACTGTMTGCTCGTGCTTTTTGATTCAAACTCAAACAAGAAAACATAAAAAATATGTGCCGCCGACAACAGCTATGTTCGCTGGTGACCATCGCTGCCAATGTTATTCCTCAACATATCACTTTGGAAATATCAGGGACAATGATCATCAGCACACAGAAAGAAACTGTTAATGACAGCGCTTTGGTTTGTGCTTCAGTCCAAACATGTCACCCATAGCATCGCTCCTTATCAGAAAAAAAGAGAGACGAGATAGAACGCCAGCAGCTCCACATACGCACGCACGCACGCACGCACGCACACACACACACACACACACTACTTCTCTTTACACATGCACCACACTGAGGTCTAATCGATGGAGCTCATTTATATTCAGCTCCAGACGTCGGGGGAAACCGGGGGAATTACAAGCAGCCTCCGCTTTGAGATCTCAGCCTGCAGAAAGCCAGAGGAAGCCTCAGCCAGCATCGCTTTGGAATCCTGCTATTTACCGTCTTCAGCATCTTCAATAACACTGTTACTGATTCTTCACACTCCACAAGAAATTCTAGTGAGCAGTGCAAAAGTGCCAATCAGTTAGACAACAATATGTCACTGAAAATTATCTGAACAGTGACGAAATACAACTAAAGACACTGAGATGGATTCCTATGATTTAAAGGAGACACATCAAGCTTTCAGACCCGTCTTTGTCACATTTAATTCATTYAGTTGGGGTCTATTTACAGCGGGTAAAATAARKATTGAACACGTCACCATTTTTCTCAGTAAATATATTACTAGAGGTGCTAATGACATGAAATTTTCATCAGATGTCGGTAACAACACAAGTGATCCATACATACAAAGAAATCAAACCATAAATGTCCA